CCCATCAAAGCTCACATCCGACTCACGTACGGAAGCCAATGCTTAGCCCCAGGCACACACACTAGCGCCTTCTCCGGCTCTGGTCTACCTGATAGCCTCATGCCCGCTCTGCAAGTCACGTTTCCCTAATGTCTGCCTCCCCGCCTGTATCGCAAACAAATCTAATCCCAACCCTGCAACGCGAGCTGCTCTTGGTCATGGCACAAACGCGCGCACACTCCACAATTCGAACTTACGAACCTTACTGGCAGCAGTTTCGTTCCTTCTGCATCAAGGTCAACCTTCCCTTCCTGCCAACCGCGGACATGACACTCGCCTTGTACCTTGTCTATGCAATTCGAAACAAGGCAACTCTCTCAGTGATACAACTCACATGCTCGGCCGTCAGCTTCGCTCACCACATAATTGGGGCATCCTGCCCCAGCACTGGCCCTTTCACGTCACAAATTCGAGAATTCGCCAAGCGACAGTGTCCCCGGCCCAATCGGACCAAGGAACTGGTCTCTTTACATCAAGTGCACGAGATGGCTACTCACTTCATCGGTGCTAACGACCCAGCCACATTCCAGAAAGGTCTCATTCCCCTTCTCATGTACGTCGGATTTTTGCGTTACTCCGATCTAGTGGCCATCAACTGGGAGGATATCCAGTTTGAGGATGACGTACTTGTCAAACATGTGTATTTGTCATGTTTGTATAAAACTGTATAGGGTCGCCTCTTAGAGGGTACAACACTTAGGTATATCTGTGTGTACTCTCTATCTATTATCAACTTCTCAATTTTGTTATGGTATCACGCGTAGGTAGGATCCCCCCCCCCCCCACCTACCGCTTCCGCTCACCCCTCTAGCACCCCTCCTGGGCCCCGTCGCACCCCTCACTGGGCCCTGTCGCGCCCCTCCCAGGCCCCGTCGCGCCCCTCCTAGGCCCTGTAGCGCCCCTCCTGGGCCTCGTCGCGCCCCTCCTGGGCTCCGTAGCGCCCCTCCTGGGCCCCGTCGCGCCCTTCCTGGGCCCTGTAGCGCCCCTCCTGGGCCCCGTCGCGCCCCTCCCAGGCCCCGTCGCGCCCCTCCTGGGCTTCGTAGCGCCCCTCCTGGGCCCCGTCGCGCCCCTCCTGGGCCCCGTAGCGCCCCTCCTGGGCCCCGTCGCGCCCCTCCTGGGCTTCGTAGCGCCCCTCCTGGGCCCCGTAGCGCCCCTCCTGGGCCCCGTCGCGCCCTCCCTGGGCCCTGTAGCGCCCCTCCTGGGCCTCGTCGCGCCCCTCCCAGGCCCCGTCGCGCCCCTCCTAGGCCCCGTAGCGCCCCTCCTGGGCCTTGTCGCGCCCCTCCTGGGTTTCGTAGCGCCCCTCCTGGGCCCCGTCGCGCCCCTCCTGGGCTTCGTAGCGCCCCTCCTGGGCCTCGTCGCGCCCCTCCTGGGCCCCTGTAGCGCCCCTCCTGGGCCCCCCGGCGTGCCCCTCCTGGGCCCCGTAGCGCCCCTCCTGGGCCGCGTCGAGCCCCCCCCCCCCTCCTGGGCCCCGTCACGCCTTCAGGCCCCGTCGCGCTCGCCCGGCCCCGTCGCCCCAGCCCGGCTTCGTCGCACCAGCCCGGCCCCGTCGCACCAGCCCGGCCCCGTCACGCCCGCCCGGCCCCGTTGCACTCGCCCGGCCCCGTCGCCCCCTGCCCGGCCCCGTCGCAGCCGCCCGGCCCCGTCGCACCCGTCCGGCCCCGTCGCACCCGTCTGGCCCCGTCGCACCCGCCCGGCCCCGTCGCACCCGCCCGGCCTCGTCGCAGCCGTCCGGCCCCGTCGCGCCCGCCCAGCCCCGGTGCGCCCCTCCTGGGCCACCGTCCTGCTCGCCCGGCCCCGTCGCACCGGCCCGGCACCGTCGCACCAGCCCGGCCCCGACGCACCCGCCCGGCCCCGTCGCACCAGCCCGGCCCCGTCGCGCCCACCCGGCCCCGTCGCGCCCGCCCGGCCCCGTCGCACCTGCCCGGCCCCGTCGCGCCCACCCGGCCCCGTCGCGCCCGCCCGGCCCCGTTGCACCGGCCCGGCCCCTGCGCTCGTCCCTGCCCCGGCCCCGGTCCTCCTCACTGGTACGGTTTCCCCCCCCCCCCCCCCCCCCCCCCCCCCTGCCCTACACTGCCCTGCACCGTACTGCCCCGCACTGCACCGCCGACTCGTCTTTGGACTGGGTCTCCTGGTGACGCGTCTGCGTTCCACGTCTGGGGCTGCCTTGCTCACGTCCGTGCCTCCTTGCACGGACAAGCTCACTGCCCGCACCCTTCCCTGCGTCTTCCTTGGTTTTCCCCTTGGCGCGTCCGACTGGCACTTTTACCACCCGCCGTCTCACCGCTTCTTTCACTCTCGTGACGTCACCTTTGACGAGTCCGCCTCCTACTACCGTCGCTTCCCCCACCGTGGTCCCCCGGTTAACCCCCCCCTGTTCCTGGTCACTCCTTCCCCGGTAGTCCCTGCCCCTCCTCCTCCTCCTCCCCGTCCCGCCCCCTCTGGTGTGTCCCACGTCACCCCCCTTCCGTCGGTGGACCCGGTTGAGGAGTCTTCTGACTCTGGAGGCCCTCCTGTTCAGTCCTCGCCGGCCGCCCCTCCCCTAGCGTCCCCTCCCCAGTTCCCCCCTCCACCGCCTCTGCCGCCGCTGCAGCCGTCGTTGTCGCTGCCGCCGCCGCCGCCGCCGCCGTCGCAGCACCCGTTCGTTGACTCTGGGGGTGCTCGTCTCGGTAGCCCTGGGGGTGGTCCCTCTGGGGGTGCTGGTGTGGAGAGTGCCGGTGGTAGCCGAGGAGCAGCTTGCGGTCCCGGTGTCGCCGTTGTGCCGCCGCAGCAGCAGTCCCCGCCGGTGTCAGCCCTTCGCCTGCTCGGCCTTCCGTCCCCCGACCCTGCGTCGGTTTCTCCCCGGCCGTCTCCTCCTCTTCCTGTCTACGGCCCTGTCTTCCCTCCGCCGGACTCGTCCCCGGCCCGTCTCCCCCCTCGTTCCCCTCCTGTGTCCCCTCCTCTGTCTCCTGACCCGACTCCTCCGTCGCACGTCTGGTCTCACCGTCCCTCCCGCGCTCGTCCTGCCTCGCCTGTCTTGCGCTCCCACCCTATGTTGCTTCGTTCCCATGCGTCTCGTCCTCCCCTTCTGCCGTCGCCTCCTCCGTCCTCCCTTGTTGTTGCACCCCCCCCGCTGTCTGACTACCTTCGTGCCGCTCGTCCCCTTGTTCCTCGGGTCCTTGCCTCTCTCGTTACCGACCCGTCTGTTCCGACCTCGTGCCTTGACGCTCTTGTCGCTGCTGTCGCTGACTTCGCCTCTACCCGCCGCCTTGACTACGCCTCCGCTCTGGTCTCTGACCCTGCCTGTCCTCCGTCTGTCAAGGGTGCTCCTGCCCTTGGCAGTGACGTCTTGGAGGACCGCCAGTTCGAGCTTGCTTTCCTGTCCGAGGCTGCTCCCCATCTCTGTTCCATGCTGCTAGTCCCTGAGGGTGACCCAGACGCTTTCGACATCCCGACCCCTCGCACTTACGCTGAGGCGACTTCGGGACCCTGGGCCTCGCAGTGGATAGCTGCCATGGAGCAGGAGATGGCGTCTTGGAGATCCACCGGCACCTTCGTCGACGCAGTTCCCCCACCTGGGGTGAACGTAGTCGATGGCCGCTGGCTCTTCAAGGTGAAGCGCCCTCCTGGAGAGCCGCCTGTCTTCAAGGCGCGCTATGTCGCTAGAGGCTTCAGTCAGCGCGAGGGGGTGGACTTCTTCCAGACCTTCGCTCCGACCCCGAAGATGATTACTCTTCGGGTTCTGTTACACCTAGCTGCTCAGCGTGACTACAAGCTTCACTCCCTCGACTTCTCCACTGCCTTCCTTCAGGGCAGCCTACACGAGCAGGTCTACCTGCGGCGCCCTCAGGGCTTCACTGGCACCTTCCCTCCTGGGACCCAGTGGCTCCTGCGGCGCCCCGTCTACGGCCTGCGCCAGGCTCCCCGTGAGTGGCACGACACTCTCCGTGCTACGCTTGCTGACCTGCAGTTCTTTCCGTCTTCCGCAGACCCTTCACTCTTCGTTCGTGCTGGCCAGACTCCGTTCTACATCCTTGTTTACGTCGACGACCTGGTCTTTGCCACAGCTGACAGGGACGCACTGGCCTCCGTAAAGGCAGAGCTGCTGAAGAGACACACGTGCACTGACCTTGGAGAACTGCGCCGTTACCTTGGCTTGCAAATCTCCAGGGACAGAGCTGCGCGCACCATCACCCTGACTCAGTCACACTTGGTGCGCCAGGTCCTTCAGAGGTTCAGCCTTCAGTTCTCCTCTGCACAGCCCACCCCTCTGCCTGTAGACCACAGACTCTCCGCTCCAGTGTCTGAGGAGTTGGTAGAGCCCAGCGGCCCCTACGCAGAGCTGGTGGGTTGCCTCATGTACCTGATGACTTGCACTCGCCCAGATCTCGCATACCCTCTCAGCATCCTGGCTCGTTTTGTGGCCACATGCAGGCACCGACCGCAGCACTGGTCTGCCGCTAAGAGGGTTCTGCGTTATCTTGCTAGTACATCGGGCATGGGGTTAGTGCTTGGAGGACGCAGGCCAGTGGTCCTTACTGGACACACAGACGCTTCGTGGGCAGACGACGCTGAGACACTCAGGTCTACCCAGGGCTACTGCTTCAGCCTTGGCTCAGGTGCCGTCTCGTGGAGAGCTACCCGCTCCTCGTCTGTTGCGCAATCCAGCTGTGAGGCTGAGATCTACGCTGGTGCCATGGAGGCACAGGAGCTCCGCTGGCTGACCTTCTTGCTCACCGACTTAGGTGAGCGGCCTAGCTCTGCCCGGGTCCTGTTCGCTGACAACAGGGCCATGATCCTCCTGTGTCAGGAGCCTCGACTCGAGGGCAGAGCAAAGCACATTCAGCTGCGGTACTTCCTCCTGCGTGAGCTACAGCAGTGACGTCAGGCTCACGTAGTACACTTGGCCTCAGGTGCCAATACGGCTGATATCTTTACGAAGGCGCTTGCGCCTAAAGATCATCAGCGGCACTGTGTACAGCTTGGTCTAGTTCTTGTAGCCTCTCACTTGCTAGGACCTTGACTTTGTACTGTCCTTTATACGTATACTCAGACTGGACTTGTGTCCTCTCTCAGTGGCTGGACTAGTAGTGCCGCCCTGCTCTTGTTCTTGCCTTGTTTGTACTCCTTCTGACTGGTCTCTCAGACCCTTGTCTCAGAGGTTGGACTAGTAGTGCCGCCCTGAGCTGTTTGTTTAGGGCATTCCCCTATGCAGTCTAGGGGGTGTGTCAAACATGTGTATTTGTCATGTTTGTATAGACTGTATAGGGTCGCCTCTTAGAGAGTACAACACTTAGGTATATCTTTGTGTACTCTCTATCTATTATCAACTTCTCAATTTTGTTAGTAATGTGGCTGCTCGTCCTGCGCTCCAAAACGGACCAGGCAGGTCAGGGCTCATGGGTTCCTGTTGCTGCCGTCCCAGGACCCCTCTGCCCTGTCCGATGCACCAAACGCTTCATCCGGTTGGCAGGCTATGGACCCACCACTCCCGGACCCTTAATCCGGGTGTTAGGCGTGGCCGCAGGTGGCGTCCCCACCAGCAAGCCGCCATCATACACCACCATACGCAACTGGTGCAAGGAGGCTTTCCAGTCCATCGGCCTGGGTGAGCATCACCTCGGCACCCACTCCTTTCGCAAAGGCGCTGCGACCGTAGCTGCCCACGGAGGCGTAGCGGACCGGCTCTTCAAACGTCTTGGCCGATGGCGCAGTGACACGGCCAAAGAAATATACGTCACACCCGCCGTCGACCAACTGGTGGCGGCGTCCCGCAATGTACAGATTTTTGGGTCGGTTCCATCCCCGGCACAACATTCTCGAGCTCTTGTACGCCACCGACAGCCATCTCCCTCCATGTCTCAGGTCAACCCAGTGGAATGAGAACGATGTCATTTGCACAAGTAGCGAGCTTTCTCAATATATAATTTTTTGAAGTGTTCACACTTTTAAAATTTTGTATTGTGAATGCGAAGCTGCTTGTAACGCAATCTAAAGCATCGTCGAAGCGCGCTATTCGACAACTAAGGGTGGCCTTTTTGAAACGTCAGCCCTGCTCTCCATGTGACGTGGTTGTTGCTAAGGCGCAGGCTTGCACATTATACACAGGTCTGTCCAGACCGCCTACACAAAGACTAGACAACTACTACCAGTGGCTTCCACCACCAGCTGGCGTTGTGAGCTGAGACGCTATTCAAACCCCGTCCTCAGCTGCTGCTCTAGCGCCCAGTCAAGCAGCGCCCCCCATGACGCCCTGTCAAGCAGCGCCCCCCATAACGCCTGCCATCTCGCTCTCAGCATCCACCACCAGCTTGCGCGTGAGGCGCTTCAGCCCCCCCATGGCGCGCGCTGCCAGCCCCAGCGCCTCCTCCCTCTGCGCCACGTGCCGCCGCACCGCCAGAGCCGCCTCCTCCCGTGGCACGTCGCCTGCCACACTCAACACCCCCGCATGCACCCCTGCCCGCTCCTGCACCTGCGCGCGGGCGTGCACGGCCAGGCGCGGGTGCGCGGCGTGGTGGTGCGCGTCGTCCCTGAGCTGGCAGCTGAGGTCCAGCAGCCCGCGCAGCGCCATCATCGCCGTCTCCGCCTCCGCCTTCGCCACCTGGGGGGGGGGGGGGGAGGGGAGGGGTGTTGGGAAGGATAGGGGAAGGGGAGAGAAAATAGGAAGATGTGAGCAACAAATTAGTGGCTTGCGAAAGTGAGGGAGAGGCAAAAGGACACATTGAGCATGATGCCCCCTCTCACGTCTTGGCCCTCTCACAGCAACAGCACACGCGCACTACTGCATCTGGTCGCAGCTGTAGCAGCAACCCAAGTCCACCTCTCACAGTGGTACATGCAGCACGCCTCCTCTCCACGAACTCGCAACATCACCCAACACAACGCATATCCCACAATCACATCATACACATGCCATCACCACACCCCACCCCGTCACCCCTTCAACATAACCACACCCCCCTATCACCCGTTCCCCATCCCTTCACCATCACCTCCCCCCCTCACCTCCAGCTCCAGCTTCACCACTTCGTCCGCCAGTTCCTCCCCCTCCCCCTCGCCCGCCCCGCCCGCCCCCGTGATGGCGCGCTTCAGCTCGCCGATCTCCCGCGCGCCCGCCACCACCTCGTCGCGCATGGCACTCAGCTCGCCCTCGCGCTCCCCCCACCGCGCGCGCAGCCGTCGCACCTCCTCCTCGCGCTCGTGCAGCGCCGCGCGCGCCTCCTCTACCTCACCCTCCCGTCCGCGCAGCTCCTCCTGCGCCAGCTGCAGCTCCCCGCGCAGCCGCGCCTCCGCCTGCCGCCCCTCGCGCGCGGAGACCTGCAGGCGGTGCACCTGGGCGTCGCGCTCCAGCAGCGCGCGGCTGGCGGCGAACAGCTGCTGGTTCGTCTCCGCCAGCAGCGCGCTCTCGCCCACCCCGCCGTGCGCGCCCACGTGCCGCCTCCCCCCGGCGGCGGGCAGCGCGTCCAGCGACACAGCCGGGCCCAGCCCCAGGCGGTCGGCGGCGTCGAGCGCGGATTCGGCGAGGTGCTGCGAGAGCTGCGCGATCTGCTGCACCGTGGACTCGGCGACGAGGAGGCGCGCGTTGCTGCCGTCCAGCTGCTGCTCCACGCGCGCCAGCCGCGCGTCCTTGGCCCGCATCTCATCCGCCATGCCCGCCAGGCGCTCCTCCTTCACGCGCAGCTCCACCTTCACCGCCTTCAGCTCCCGCCGCATGCCCACCATCGCCCGCTGCGCCGCCATCAGGTCCGCCGTGCGAGTCGCCAGGTCCGCCTGCGACGTCGCGAGCTTCGCCTGCGCGTCGCGCAGCTGCAGTCGCAGGCCGACGATCTCCGCCTCCTTCACCTGCAGCGCCAGCGTCGCCTCGCGCAGCTCGCCGTCCACCCGGCGGAACTCCTTCCGCAGCTGCGCCAGCTCCGCGCTAGCAGAGCGCATCTCCGCGCGCTCCGCGTTCACCGAGCTGCGCAGCCGCTCCGCCTCGTCCACCTGCGCGCGCACCTGCTTCTCGAGCTCCGCCACGCGCGCCTTGGCGGCCTTCAACGCCGCCTTGTCGCGCTCCAGCTCGCCCCGCGCGCGGTTGAGCTCCTTGTCACGCTTCTGCAGCTGCACGCGCGCCGACGACGCCTCGCGCCCCTTGCGCGCCACCGCCAGCCGCAGCTCCTTCACCTGCGCGCGGAACGCCTCCACAGCGCCGCTCGATGACGTCATCTCCGCCTTCAGATCGCCCACCAGCCGCCGCGCGCTCGACACCTCGCGCTCCACCTGCTCCCCGCCCGCACCCGCCTCCCGCAGCCGCGCGGACAGCGCACTGATCTCGTCTTCCGCTGCCGCCACCACCTGCGCGCGCCCCTCGAGCTCCTCCGCCATCGCCGTCAGCTTCGCCTCCTGCCGCTGCAGCTCCCTCCGCGCGGCCTCCGCCTCCTGCGCTGCCTGTCTGCCCTCCTCCTCCGCCGCCGTCACGTCCGCCTCCAGCCGCCGCAGCTCCGCCTCCGCCGCCGCCAGCTGCATCTCGCGCGCCTTGGCGTCGAGCTCCGCCGCCTCGATGCGCTCGTTGCGCTGGCGGATTGCGAGGTGCGCGCGCGCTATCTCCTCCTCCTTCAGCGCCAGCACCTCCTTCGCGCGCGCCAGCTCCGCCTCTCGCTCCGCCACTGCGCGCTTCACCTCCTCCACCTCCGCGCCCTGTTCCCGCACCTTCCGGCGCAGCTGCTCCGCCTCGTCTCGCATCTCCCCCTGCGCCACCTGCCTCTCCTCCAGCTGCGCCTCCCGCGCCATCAGCACCTCTCGCGCCGCCACCATGCTCGCGCGCTCGTCGGCGACGCGGCGCTCGTCGAGGGCGAGCTCGCCCTCCTTCTCCCGGAGCGCCTCGAAGACGGCCGACAGGTCCACCTCGAGCTGCTGCACGGCGTCCTCCAGGAACGCCACCGACGCGGCTGTCGCGTCGGCGGGCGCCGCCGCGGGGCCCAGCAGCTTCTGCTTCTGCTCGTGCGCGTGCGCCTGCTGGAACAGCCGCTCCAGCGCCGACCGCGCCGCCTCCAGCGCGTCGTTGCCCACCTTGCCGCCACCATGCCCCGCGCTGCTGCCGCTCCTGCTGTCGCTGCTGCGGCTAGACGACTTGTCCAGGACCGCTCGGACGGTTAGCCGGCATGAGGAGCGGCGCGTGGCAAGGAGCACGGCGGGCGTGGGGGGCTTGAGTGCGCGAGCGCTGGACAGCGCTGTGGACGAGGATAGGGAGCGGTGGGCCAGCGCGCGGTGGGCCCGCGCGTGGGGCGCTGGCCTGCACGTGGCGACCTGGTGTGTCATCGGGAAGGAGGTGCGGGAGGAGAGCGACGGCTGTGATTATCCCGTGCTGTGGGACGAGCTAGCCCTTTCGTCGTGGGAAGATTAGCCGTCTAACGTGATGCAGAGATGGACGCAACGTGGTAAGAGCTGCTGCAAGAACGCAAGTGCCAGCAAAAATCTAACCACAGATGCAGAAGACAGCCGGAGCTCCTGCAAAGTAGGCTGGTTCAGCAATTAGGCGTCGAATCTGGAACGGTAAGAACCGTCGTCATGTATGAACCTGGGCGTCATTGCTGTCCAGGCGAGGCGCGTGAATGAGAGCCACAAGCGAGGATTCACGAGGTGTGGGGAGCCACACACTGGATTCGCCAACCACCTTTTGCTGCTGCACGCACCCGCCTTCCACGCAGGGCTAATTTTTCGTTTTCCAGGACCCAGCGGTCTCAGGATTCGCGTCACTAAATACCCTGAAAAAATCAGCATTCCTTGAGAAATCTCTCTTTTTCAGGATTACTTTGACCTTTCAATCTGAATTTCAGAGTGTTTTTTGGAACTCCCTACATATAGGCGGAACCTGCGGGAACTTCGAGTACAAGCAGGACGGACATCCATGGAAGAAACAGAGAAGAATACAGAGTACACACTTGCTGCTGTTGCTGTCCCTCAGCACCACACCAAGTTCGACACTTTCCTTGTCAATCGCGACAGAAATGCGTACAACTTAGAGGGACAGTGCGAAGCCTGACTATCACAACCCCTTAAAGCGAGGGTCTCAAGTAGCACGAAACCAAATCCAAAAGGTTTGGTTTTGGGTTGACGATATTAGCGAAGCGGTAACAGAGCCCAACCAGCACCCCTCACCACACCTCACAATTTTCGAGACCCCCCCAAAACCAAAACCTTTGGATTTGGTTTTCTGCTTCTTGAGACCCTTGCTTTAAGGGGTTGTGATAGTCTGAAAGCCCTGCACTTCTGTAGTTGTGAAAGTTCGACGGGTCACAATTTCAGATTGTGTGGAAAATTGGTCAGGGCTGCAATGGGGGGGAGGGTAGGGTTACAATTCCAGCACGGGTAGGTTTCCATTCCAGTAGTCAGGAGAATTTTTCGCGCAGTCCGGATTTCTCAGAGAGTTCCTGGGAAACGCCCGGAATCAGTCAGGAGGTTTTTGATTCCGAAACCCTCAAAATCAAGATTTCAGCGGGAAAGACCCGGAATGTACCTGACATTCCGGATGTTTACCCTTGAACCGAGAGCCCTGCTTCCACGCCACCATCGCTCCCTGCGTCGGCGAAGCGACGAGGTGGCGAAACTGCAATATCCGCGAATGCGACCAGCGATTGGCTGCTGCTCCCACTTCGCAAAAAGCGCGAGCCAATCACCATTTCTGGATAAATCAATCCCCCTCTTGCCTTCAAAGCTGGACTCGGTGTGCCGCCCCTCTCGGTCCAATGATCCAGGTTCACACATGCTGGATGAGGTAGCACAAACTCGGAAAGGTGAATGTCCACGCAGTGACCCGCTAAAAGTCCCATCTTGTTCTTTTCAATCGATTAGATCAGCAATATTAACTACTTACCTCTTCCATTCTTGATTTAGGAAATATCAATTAAAATAATAGCATATGTAAAAAATTGTGCATCTTCTACATTTACAAAATATGCAAATATAAAAAGCCCAAGTGCAGCTGAATAGGGGTGCACGTTTGGGAGCCATCGTGGTTTGCAGTACCAGAATCTGACAATATCGCATTCATAATTCAGAAAGCTGATTTCACATGCTGTATTTGTTAAAATATATTGGTTATATATAATTGTAGGCTTGGTAGGCGTTACTGAAACCTACTGTAGAGGGTACAACTCCCTCCTTGTATCCCTCTCTCTTCCTAATCTAATCCCTTTTTTTGCTCGATATTTTCTCTCCTAGCTAAACCCTCACACCACTTCTATGGCTTCCTAGCTAGCTTCTAGCTCCCCCTTCTTCTCAACATGGTACCAGAGCAGGTTGCCTCTTCCAGGCCTGCTCCCCACACTTCCACCGCGTACTCGCTCTTCTCTCGTCAATTTTGTGCCGCCGTGGCAGCCATGCCGGCCTGCCATAGCTGCTCCGTCGTGCTGCCGTCGCAGCCCCAACGCGCTGCCGTGGCGTCGACGCCACGCCGTGGCGACGTCATCGTGCTGCCGTGGCAGCGTCGACATGCCGCCGCGGCATCGACGCCGCGCTGTGGCAGCGTCGTTATGCTGCCGTGGCGGCGTCGTCGCGCAGCAGCAGGCCGCGCTTCGTTTAAGGCGGCGCCAGCCCTGACGCCCGCACGCCAGGCCAACGCCAGCCACGGGCGTGTTGCTGGACCACACCCCCTTCCCCCTCTGTGTCTTCCTCTCCTCCAGCCGCAGCTGCTGCCTCAATGTCCGGTCGTCGCCGGGTCGTGCCACGCCGACGAGTGCCGCGAGCCTCGCCGTAGCCGCCGCAATCGTCGAGGCCGCCGCCGCCGCCGCTGATGCCGCTGGCCTTTCTTGCCGCCGCATGCCGCCGCCGCCGCCGCTGATGCCGTTGCTGCCACCCGCCGGGGGTGTCACCGCTTTGCATGATGGGTAGAAGATTCACCAGCTGCGGCACATTGGGGTGCCAGGATTTTGGGGGTGTTTCGTGTGGGGTGGGCTTGCCGCTACCAAGACTAGGGGGTGTGTTAAATTAAATTGGTTATATATAATTGTAGGATTGGTAGGCGTTTTTGAAACCTACTGTAGAGGGTACAACCCCATCCTTGTATCCCTCTCTCTTCCTGATCTAATCCCTTTTTTTCCTCTCGATATTTTCTCTCCTAGCTAAACCCTCGCGCCACTTCTATGGCTTCCTAGCTAGCTTCTAGCTCCTCCCTTCTTCTCAACAGTATTGCACACTTGCAACTCGAAAGAATGTGCACAATTTTTTTTAATATTTTTTTTAGCTGTATCAAGCTTCCTATCGTTGTCAGGAGATGCGCTTCAATTAAATATGCACTGCATTTGTTTGGCGTACCAGATTCATCTTTAGTTGATCTGATGGGACAATGTAGCATCCTAGGCAGTAAACCCATAAATAGCCATTACTATGATAAGGAAACATTGAATAGAAGTTCCCAAAAATAACACAAGTGTGTGCCTCATCCATAGTGTGGTACATCCCCAATCGAGTGCATGGTATATCTCCAAGCCCACATGAGTCTTGCACCCGCTACCGCCACTTCACTAGCCACCACGTTCCAGACCATAGCTGACACCAGCGGCTCTGACACCTCACCAGGACCACTCTCAACAACTTATTACGAGCTGGTGTTTTTGCTCTAGGATCTCTCCTCTGCCCCGACGGATCTGAACTCACACTCAGCAACGAGCCACATGCCTGCATCGTCTGCCCTAAAGCCGCTCTCACGCACCAGCCCTTCCTGCTGCCCGAACGTGGAACCAATCACTATGACCGACTCGACAAAGTCTAAAGCAACTTTGTCGTTCTCACATAGACCGACCTCGAGAATGACCTCTACACACCTACCTTTATTGACTCAAGTTTCCACTACGTATGAGTGGTAAATGCCAGCAACCGAGGCAAAGTCTACGAGATCTTTCGCCTATGGTTGAGCCAAGCCGAGCGACAGTCGGTCCAAACTTACCTGGGGGAGCTCAGCAACGAGCATCACCTGTTTCTGCCATATGCTCACCCTCAGCATGGCATTGCCGAGAGAACCAATCGCACATTGACTAACATGGTACACGCCATGATGCGGCATTCTGACGTGCCCACGGATTACTGGCCTATGGCATGCATCATGCGGTACGTGTGCGCAATCTCTGTCAACTACGGCTAACGAGGGGAATCTCTCTCCATGGGCATACGTAATGGCGGTCCTAGTAGTGCGATCAATGCGAAACTGATCGAGAGTGAGACATTCGTAGAAGAGAATGTCTCGCAAAGGAACAATCTTGGAGGAGCGGAATCTAGGATGTTCCACACCTTGCATTGTAGACTGATTCCGAGACGCACCTCTTAGCATCCGCCGCTCTTGAACTTCCCCGTCGTTGCGGTGTGAGATCGGTACTGGACCATGCATCCCTCCCACACACAGAGCATTGTAATCTCACCAAGCTTCATCGAACGCTACAATGCAAGATGGGTCGTTCACCGATACGACCAGTGCCATGGCATAGATCTCGACCAGACATTTGCGCCAGTTAGCCGTCACACTTCTGTCGGCATCCTACTCATTATCACGTTCGTTACGCATCTTCCCCTATGCCAGATAGAAGTAGAGAACAACTTTATACACGCGAAAGTCGATGCATTTATCAAATAGTCTCACATCTACAGGGACGGAGACACGCGGGTTGCAGAAGTCTCTCTATGCACCGTCATGGCATCCTGATCAGCATTGCCTTCACCCAACTCCCCCATGAACCTGGCATGTACCGCCTCCAGTTTTGCAGCGACTATATTTTGTTGACTTCCTAGGTCGATGATATTCTCTACACGAGCACAAGCAACGAGCTTCTTGACTAGTTCGAACGCAATCTCCGCAAATGCGTCGACATCGCCACCTCCCACGATGTCACCTAGTTTCTCGGCCTTAACATAACTTACAGTACTCGTCGGGCGTCATTCACATCTCTGCCTCCAAATACGCCGAGACCCTCACAACCAAGTTCGCCATCACATCCGCTCCTGTCTCAACTCCCTACCACCAACTACAAGCCCGATACCAAGGCTCTCTCGCCCGCAACAAATTAGCGATGCTAGTAGCAGATCGGATGCTAGCTCTTTGCCACTACTTCCTATATCACTAGCTAGCTCACCCAGTGTTCTTAGTGACCTGAAATGGAGAACCTTTTGGACCTACAACACGCCCTCATTTCGACTCCTCACATCGCACTCACCTACTCGACCCTCACAACCCCGTATTTCCAACTCACCTATGTTGACGCCGATCACGTCGCCGATCCCGCCATCTGCTCCTATCGCACCGTGTTTCTTTATCGTACCTATATGACCAATCTCAAGGAATTCTCATAATCAAGAGTTGGTCATCCTCGTGTGTGTGTGTTTTTTTTTTTTTTTTTTTTTTTTTTTTTTTTTGCCGAAGCATAATTCATCGTTGCCACTACATTAGTTCGCGGAGGGCTTTACCTGTCGTCGCAGTGTATTAATTCTTTGTCAAAGATGCACCACTAGGGAGGAAACCAAGAATCATAAAGAGGATGTGGAGAAGTGTGACAAGAACTACTATATGAACGTATGGGAGCAGGTGTCAGAAAACGAGAACTTGATTGATAGAATGAGCAAGAGCATACATGCTTAAGTACCTACCATCGGAGAGGATTAGAGGGGATAAGGGAGAATCGGAGGGAATCCCAAGCAAATCCTCCCAAATTGTGGGGATTTGGGATGGATTCCCTTTGGATAGGTTGGGGATGAAAGAGCTAAACCCAACCTAACAAATATTCCTAACCCTAAACCAACAAATGACTAGCACACAAGAGTGTGCACTAACCAAATCGCAGCCTATCTCCAACACATCCCCTAGGCTACAACGTCGGAAATCGCAGAGACGCCAAGACCCATGGTATAGAGGAGATGGTAGTGGTCACGGAGTCCAAGAGACTTGGTGGACAAGTCTGCGAAGTTGCAGTCAGAGGAGATGTGCTTGGCGCACAACTACCCAAGCTGAACAAGCTTGTGCAT